CAGCCTGTTGATCAAGACCAGCTATCTTTTGAAGTGGGGTATCCAATGCTTTGACCAACAGCACACCATCAGGCAAAACCGCCTGGACCTCCTGAGCACGTCCATAGTGCCTGCGCCAATTGCGCAATGCCCCAGCCACCTCCTGAATCGTTGTCAGCTTTGGCATCGAGGTGAGCTGTTGAAGTAAAATTTGCTTTTCACCTGCACCACCTGGTTGAAATCGCACCAGCAACTTGTACAAAATCGCAGTTGAGCTCAATGCCCGATCAGTGACCAACGTTTGCTGCTCAGCCAGCGGGATTGCCTTCAAGAGCATCTGAATCCCCCGCTGCTCAGTCCGCTGAAACTTGTGCTCACAGAGATCTACCGGCAGTCTAGGGTTGATCTGTATGCGCTGCAGAGGTGTGCTTTGCTTCCACTGCTCGTAGTAGCACTTGGCCTCGCGTAGTGTTGACTCCCACCACCAATCAGCGACCCCTGACAGATCCTTCATGACTGGCGTTGAAAGGTGAAGCCAGTCCCCAAACTGCAAAGGACTTGATGACTCCGGCAAGTCAGGCAGCTCCAGTTTGCTCATTGAGCCACCTTCTGTCCAAGGACCGTAGACTCGATCCTGTCCTGCTCCGACTCCACCACCCCCCAAACCATGCCGAGGATGGTCGTTGAAGCTGCCAGGACCTTTATCATGTAGACCCCATGACTCACGCTGCAAAAAGCCAGCCCGATCGTCGCCATAAACTCCGTCAGTTGTTGCAAAGGCCCGATCGTGATGAGGTACTTCAGGTCCATGACATTCTTTTCGATGCTCCGTGCTAATTGCGCAAGCCCGAGCTTGTAGACGAGGATCACCACTTCCGCCAAGCGATTGACCTGGGCATACAGGACCTCCCATGCTCAAAGCGCTAGCCCGATCTTGTTGCGCTCCTTCTCCACTGCCGCCCAGCAATTGACCTGGCCTTCACCCTGACGCATGCTAGAAGTGCCAGCCCGAGCTTGTTGCGCTGGTTCACCACATCCGCCCATTGCAGCCCGAGCTTGAAGTGCATGTGCTCCACTTCCGCCCAGCGCCCAAGGATCATGCTGAAAGTTGCCCGGACGAGCAACGGCAGTGGCAGGACCCGGAAAACTGGATTGCAACTTACCATCACTATTGGGAGTCCAGTATGAAGACTGTTGCACAACAGGTGGAACTGCTACACGGTCTAAGGCAACCTTGAGTGATCTCACTTCACGTTCTAACCACATTTGTTTGGCCTCCCGCGCAGAGAGAATTTCATCCCTTTCATCCACCGGCCGCCAATTGGTGTCCCCATTCTTGGCTTTGGGCTTGGACTCACAAGTGTCATACAACTCCAAAGCATCATCTTGAATCCCACTGACAAAACTGAATTGTTGAAGTTGATCATGCCCCACATGCTTTGCATCTTCCAAAAAAGGCAAGGGTGGAACTGGTGGATCTTCATGAACTTCCGGAGGGGGACCATCAGGAACACGGGTACCATTTGGCGTGTATTTGGATGGATCCCTTCTCCCACCTTTCTCAGGGCTGATTGCTGTTTCCCGTACACGTGCTCTAGGGGTTCTACTCCCAGATCTTCCTTGGCGATCCTTTTGGGTCTTCCCATCAGTACCATTGGAATGACCAGAGGCAGTGTCACCAAGTTGAGAACAAGGAGAAGAGCTAACACCTGAGTCGGCCTTAGCAGCTGACTGTTCAAGCAAACGCCTGAGATTCGCCACTTCCTCAAGCAGCACCGAATTCTGTTTCCGTAACAGATCCACCACTTCACCTTCTAAAGCTCGCTGCAAACTATCCCCTGACTTGTCATCACCATCTTTGAGGTTTCCAACAGGACCCATGGTTTTCCTTTCTGATTCACCAGGCATCATCCCTTCAGAACGTTTTGGTTGTTTTTCCACTGTAGGTCTTTGAGGTTCCATCTCCAGCATGCCCGCTGAAGCACCACCACGACCCTTCCCAGTAACACCAAACTGTATAGAAGGCAGTGATCCCAAACCAGAAGCACCATTTTGAACAGGTTTCCCTTCATCCCCAGATTCACCTGGCAAGTCCACTGGGCGATTTGCAGCTAACGCACATTCGGCTTTCGCCTTCTCGGAGTACCACGGGTTCCCAGTCTCGATGCTCCACGTTGCCGGCACCGACTGAGACCGCTCCATGGGAACCTATGGCCCTTGGCAGTTAAGCCGTTGGGCTCATAACCCTTGTCGCGCCACACCTTGTTTTTTCCTTTGGGCAATAAAGTGCCTATGGTCGAAACAGGGGTAATGGAGTGCAATGATCAACGGACCTGTAAATTTTCCCATCATCCAATTCTATGATGGTTAGTAATGGTTAATGATGGTGATTGTTCATGGTGAAAGTAATGGTGAAAGTAATAACCAACATATGAAACATATGAGTTCGTCAATGGGAAGGATAATCCCATATATTATGAAAAATAAAAAATGTTTGAAACCACCAACCAGTATCGATTGCACATCGGTGATTGATTGACATCAATCTTGCTGTCAGTCTTCCAGTCTTCAGCTCCTTTTGTTGCCGTGAAAAATCCTTCAACGCAGGGGTTAAACATTAAACGCCTGGTGTTTCCGCTTCGCTTCGTGGAAGCGGGTTCGGTCGGGTTCGGACGTGATCGTCCAACCAGATTTTGTGGCGGCGTTCTCGTTTGCGCTTCAAGGGCGGCCCGCCCGGTGGATGGTGGGCACAACGCGGGCATTGAGCACAAAAGCAAGTGACAAAGTCTGTGCCTCAAAGCGAGTGGTTGGCAGATTCCGAAGCTGAACAAAAACATCTAATCTCAATCTGACAAATATCAATAATGATAACTTGATAACAAATTCAAACAGATTCAACCCTCCGAATTGCGATTTGATTGGACTATTGGAAAGGCATATTTTTTTAGCACCTTGAAATCTGTTGAAACATGTTGTTTTTCAGATTGAATCAAGGCCTCGGAATCGAAATACGGAAGAGACAGAGGTACTTCTTGACCCCTTTCCTTGCCTGTAATAGGGTCTATCCGCTCTGACAGCATCACTGCCACGGCGTACCAAACTTCAAACGTCCGCTGGCGGATTCTGAGCGGCTTCGAATTCGAATGCTCCCTGCATTGTGAGGGCGGCCTGGAATGCCTTGGACAATGCGATGAAGGACTCCATGGTCCATTGTGGCATTGTGGTCATTTTAAGGGGGACTCCAATGTTGATGTTGCCTTTGACTTTTTCCAGTTGGAGGGAGCCAAGAAGGACTTTTCTTCGGATCCTATTTCGCTACAAACTACAAGTGGCTATGCGTACGCACAAAGAGAACAAACATAATAGGCAAACACACAAGTTTCATCATGTTTCCTCAGGATCTGTGCCTTTATTACACTAACTTATATGTCGACTTATATGGTCTTCATTGGTCTTCAAAAAACATCAGTCTAAAAATCACCTGAGTCTGCTAAACCTTGAGAAAAACTTGCACAAAAAAAACAGCCAAGTGCAATCCATTCACTGCCCTGTTGGACTTTGGACACAGCAGAGAACGCTCGATGCATCCCCAACTTCAGGGGGAGAATCAGTTTTTTCCAGTGATGAAACACGCGGGTCGCGCGTCATGACTTGGAGACTTTCTGAAAAGACATCAACAATTAATGACTCTGTGTTGCCGCAAAAACGTCTTCAGTAGCAAAAATCCAAAAATGAAAGTCAGCTGGAAACTGCTCCATTCCTCCTGTGCAAGGGCCAGCAACCTGGTTATAAGCTGTGCTTAACCCTGGCAGTTTAAATCATCACGCCACACCACCGACATTCCAAAGGCTGATCTTTTTGCAAAGCACAAGGACTGAAAGAACAGATTCAGTACAGATGTGTTGCAGTGGTTATAGATGGTTATAGTGGTTGTGGCATATGACGTGCAAAACTTCAAACTGTGCTTGCACGTTTGGAGGGTAAGACTATGCGATTCACTTCTGGACCATACTAACACATGATTGCTCAAAAATAGATTTCAAGAAGCAACAAACAACATCAATTGCTTCTCCTTGATCTGTGCGGCCTTTGGCCCTCCAAACCTCGCCAGGAATGGTTCACCATCTTTGCCCTCCGCAATGGAGGTCTACACCAAAGCTTCTACAACGCAGCTTCTCTTAGATGTCCAAAGCTGCATCCACTGTGCTCCTGCAGTGGGCCTGCCGAAAACAGGGAGATCATATATGATATTATATGATATCATATGATTCCTGAGGATCGAAATGACATGGTAAATCCTGGCCATCTTATGTAGAAAGATGTCTCAGGCGTCTTTTCAAGATCTGTGAATAGTTGGCCAGAGCATCTTGGGTGCCATCAATGATCATGCCAGACGTGGCAAGGTGGCTGAACATCATCTCAAGATCACTCAATCACTCAATATGGAGATTGTGAGCCATATCCAAACTTGAAGCCATATCCATATGGGATCAACTGCAGGTCAAACATGGTCAAACTAACACACAAAAAGGGATTATCATGTGTTGTTTCTATATAACTTGACAGTTGATGGATTATCAATTGGCTATCAAGAAACAACACATCATCAATTTTCGTGGATCCATAGGCCCCAAGCTCGCTCGAAAAGCACCACACCTATGAGGCCCTGCTGGTTGGTGCTGTCCTGGCCTTAGCGTTGGCATCCATCCGGATGATCCATGACCCATCCGCCGTTTCGGCGAAGCCAAAATTCCTGGGCGACGGACTAAGGCCAGTCCTGTCTCGGGAAAAGCCATCTGTGCTGGGCCCGGACCTCGGGATGTCGGGGCTCAACTTCTCGGCAGATCACGGGTTTTTCGCAATAAAAACATGGGAGAACACGGGTTTTTCGCACCCATCGTTCCGTGAAAATCAGCACCCAAATCCACCAGTGGAATCCAATTTTTCGATGGCTGGGGATGGTGGCAATAGCCACCATCGATCCCTGAGGCACCAGCAGCCGCCAATCAAGCGTTCAAGGCTCACTTTGCACTGCCCTTTGCCAAAGATCAAAAGTTTTCAGAACACTGTTGGGAAATGTTGGGAACCTTCCGGCCAAGTTTGGATGAACCAGTCTATGGCAACTTTGGAAACCCTTTGGAAACCCCAAACTACAAGTTGTCAACAAAAATCAACAACTGCAAGGAGTCACTGTGATGCTTTTTTAGTGTCACTGCTATCAGTGTGAACAGCATGTAATCCAACCTGCTTGGCGCGCAGGGGCTGAAATTGAAGCACTTGTTGCTGTGCCATCTGCCTGGGATTTGATAGGTGGTTTATCCCATTATTTATAGGGTTTCAACCATCCAAGGTGATGCAGGATTTCTTCCATCCACAGTATATATGTACATATATATATATATATATATTATATAGTATGTATTTATATATATAGTATGTATTTATATATATATACCAAGGAGCCGGGCCTTTTTAACCAGATAAATAATGATAAATGTACCTTTGAACGATGTTGATCGTTATTTCTTTGTCTGAAACTTGGCTCGCGAAAAGAACCATCCAGGATTCAGCTGTTTCAGCTGAGGAGCTGGTATTGAGCCTGTTGAAGCTGCCTCTCAAGCCTCAATGCACTGGGCAAACATGAACATCGCCCTTGATGGATGGAGGCTCATCCGAATGGTAGAGGTTTTTTGTAACCCCCGGAGTTAGATAGAGCATATGAACATTCAAATCCCACTAAAATAGTGAACCTAGCATGTTCCTATCTTTTTGGGAGCTATATTCATGGCCAACTCTCTTTCTTAGATCTCAACAAATCATTGTGTATATAGCTTATATGCGTGGTATTCTGTGGTTCTGCAATTATAATGTGTATATATATATATATATTCTACATCATGCTTATATATGACTGCTCCATAGTTTTTCACTTCAGCTCCAAAATGGTCAGGCTTTTTCGTACTGAACGGCCCGCAGCCAAGGAGCATTTCCAGCAGAGAAGCGATGCTCGCCTTCTTCCTGGGACCCCCAAAAGGCCAACTTCAGAAACTTAAGGCCAACTGATCAGAGATGGAAATTACAACCTGTTCAAATAAAAAAAATAGTTCAAACATGTCTTCAACTATTGAGTTTTAAATGTTTACATACATCTTGTGGTTTGAGTGAAAATACGTTGCACCACATAAGTGGTTTACAGAAGTCAAGCCCGATTCATGGTCTATGGCAATCCCGAAATAGATAGAAAAGTGGGACACCTGGGAAAAATGATGGATAAATTTATCATGAGTCTCAACTAGTCCATATCCTGAAAACACGTTTCAGCATTGTTTTCAGGGTTGCAATACATGTTCTTCAACCACCAAAAAGATAGAAAAGTAAACTATTTCTCTATCAGAGGGTGCTATACTACAAAACTCATGTCATTGGGGTTGCTACACACAAGACTCTTTTTTGGTGGATTTATTGTTATCTTTTTTGGGGGTTGTAACTTTATAGTGAAAGTTAACATGTTAAAACTGATCGTAAAAGTTGAAACTGATAGTAACCTGCAATGATAGTTAACCCTATAGTAAAAGTTACTTATCAGTTGTAGTAATCAAATATTTATACTCTCTATAATACCCAATAGTGTACTAAAAATAATTTAACAGTGAAATACTGTTAGTGACCCCCAATAACCAATGATCGTATTTTACAAGTTAAGTAATGATGTCACTTAACTTATAACTGATAATAACGCGTGAATTTAAATACTAACATAGCCAATCCCCAATAGTTAAGATTAGTAACCTTCAGTAACCCCCAATATTTAATACGTGTACTTAAATACAATTGGTTAATAGTAATAACCAATAACCAATGATACTCAAAACTACACTCCTGTTGTTTTCGTAACTAGAATAACTAGAAGTTTAAACAATAATTGTCGATTGATGATCTATAGTTAACCAATGATACAATGCGGCGCCCCCAGTTTTAATTTGCTTAAAAAAAGAGCACATTAACTAGAGTTACAATAATAAGTATCTCAACAGTATCTCCATAAACAATAAAGTTATAAGTCATAAAGTATCATTATGGTTTATGACACAAATATGGTTTATCTATCATATATATATATGATATCTCATTAGAACATATTAGAACATATTAGAACTAAAGTATCTAAAAAAAACATTAGATGTATAAGTACTTAGTTTTAACTTAAATCATTACTATTAGATAGTACCATATATATCCATATATAACTATCAGTACTTAGATGTTATACTATTAGATGTATAAGTACCATATATAAACCAAACTGAGATTAGCTGAGGTGCCCTGGAGCCGATGAAATGCGGCTGTAGAGGATTTTCATCTCCTGGCAGATGGCTCAATTTTGATTTGGTGCCAGCAAAAAAAAACACATGGGATTGATCTTCAGTTTATTTGGAGTTATATTGGGCTTATATATAATATATATAATATAATATATATATATAATATAATATATAAAATATATATAATATATAATATAATATATAATATATAATATATAAAATATATATAATATATAATATATAATATATAATATATAATATATAATATATAATATATATATATATAATTATATATAGTTGACTTTGAAATCAGTATTTGATGCTGGGCTTATCGCTTTCGAGTCTCGTGCTGTATCAAATGATCCATGGCGGTGATCCATGGGTTTTTTTTCGTCGTCAAGTCCAGTGCCTCAGGGCCGCGACTGTACTCCACCAAACTGTTTGCGACATACTTGCCGAACCTAACCAGGTGGCCATGACTGGTGAATGGCAAACATACACAAGCCATGGAAAAAAAACTGATCTTGGGGATGGTGAAATTGGCGTTCCCATAATTTCACATATTAGAATATGTTATAATCACCCACACACCTCATAAACCCTAATTGCGGGAAATACTTCAGTTACTAGTTATTATCGACATAAACCCTAGTTGAGTTGGTTTAGTCATGTAGTTAAGTTATAATACTGGTTGGTGGTTGACCTACCCCCTGAAAAATACCCATGCCAACTATTGGGGAAAATACAATTCATGTTCCAAACCACCAACCAGAATATGTCATAATCCCATGATTACACCACCACCTTGTAGGACAAAAAGGTGATGTCTGTACAACAAAAACGACACTTTCGACAGGGTCTGCACAACATCTACAACATGGCTCCGGTGGCTTTGTCTGAAAACTGGGGATACTCCCCAATGAAAAACGCCATGTTTATGGATTTCTATGTGGAAAAACCATGAAAGAAAACCATCGAATTTGGATAAAATTGCTCGATTTTCCTGATGATTTTCAGGTATCCCAGGTCTCACCGCCTGTCATCCATCAGCTGCACCAATGGGGAAGACCGGTCTGAAGGATCCTGGCAGGGTCGAGCCTCTAGTGGTGTACCACAATGGGTCATACTATGAATCAAAAGTAAGAGTCATTTAATATGATATGGATTGATATGGAATGGTATGCTCAAATCATTTATTAATTCATTCCATGTCGTGAAATGTCATATAGATAATTATTCATGTAGATCATACCTTGCCATATGTTGCGATATGTTGCAATATGTGGCAATACCATCGTCACCATGTATATATATATAATGAATTTATGATATTATACATAGATTATATATTATATATTTTATATTATATATATATCATATCATATATATATATATTATAATATATATATTATATTAATTATATCATATATATATTAAATATCAAATATATTATATATTATATATCAAATATACTATATATTATATATCATATATATTATATATCATATATACTGTAATAAATATATATTATATATAATATAAAATATAATATAATATATATATATATATTATAGATAATATAACATATATATATATACTATATATAAAAATTATTATCATTATTATTATTAATAACCTTCCCCTCCCAACGTCCCAATCCGAAACAACGTCGGTTGGCCTTGGGCGCAGGTCCAAGCACAGCGCGAATCAATCGCTGACGTTCTTCCTTCAAAAAGGCTGCCTCGGTGCCACGTCTTTGTCGGGGGGGTCCAACAAACAGTTAACAAACATGACCATCAATGGATTGGTTTAAGGGAAAATCTACAGGAAACCATGTTTTTTACCATCAAATATAGGTCTTTCCTGTAAATTTTCCCATCATCCAATTCTATGAGACCATCATATAATTCTATATCATGTTATTATGATCCTATTGTGATAAACAAGGAAAGCTACACAATTATCATATTATTTTGATTCTTTAATCATAAAACATGAATGATATGATTCTATGTCATTATGATACATCCTATATCATATCATATATCATCCACTAAACATGGATTGTTATTATGATATCATCTGTTTACAACATATCAATCCATATTATCATCCGTTAAACATGGATTGTTAGTATGATATCATCCCATACTATCATCCATTAAACATGGATTATTATTATGATATTATCCATTAAACACATATCAATCTATATTCTCATACGTTAAACATAGATTATTATAATATCATCCATTTAAAAAAGATATCATCCCATATGATCATCCATTAATGTTGACCTACGATTTATCAAAGCCCCCTGAATAAAGCTATGTTTCCAAAATTAATAATAAATGACCCCTAAATTAAGCATATCAAACATATCATCCCATCGCCGCCGCCATCCGCTGTTGGATTCTGTCACCGAGGCCAGTGCATGTTCACCAGTCGTGGAGGCCTTGCACCGCTGCTACGAGCTTTGTTACAGCTATGTGTATCTGTATGTATATTAGCATATATATATATATAGTCTATGTTACATATAAGTATGTTAAATATGTTATATATATATATATGTTATATATGTTATCTATATTATATACGTATGTTGAATATGTTATATATGTTATACAGAATTAAGAACACTAACACTAACAATGCCTAACAGTAATAATCACAATATTTTTATATGTTTTGGAAATATATGACTCTTACACTTTTGCTAGTGAGCATCTTAATAAACTTCACCATCAATGGATAAATCGAACCCGGGGGTTCCCATGGTTCCCATGGCTGGGGTGCCTCAAAGCACTTCTCGACCACGTTACTGGCGTGCTTGTCCTTGCCGAGCTCCAAGACCTCCGGGAAGCTCCATCGTCTGGTGATGATAATGGGTGATAATAAATGATCCAATTAGTTATTTACATATTATTTAATGTTAATGGTTAGTTAATCCCTACGGATCCAAGTACCTTCTTAGGAAGTGTTTGGGATCATTTAAATGATTGGTGGTTAACCATAATAATTGGATCATTTAAATAGCATCCATTATGGGATTAACTAATTGGATCATTGTCCCATAACTAACCATAATAATATTATTTAATGTTAATGGTTAGTTAATCCCTATGGATCCAGTTGTACCTTCTTAGGAAGTGGGACTGGGGTATAATTTACTATAATTTGGAGGCTTAAGTACCTTCTCAGACAGTGTTTGGATCCATAGGGAATGTTAATGGGTGATGTTAATGTTAATGGGTCTTAATTTGTTACATGGTCCAGCCATTAACATGGAACCAACCAATTAGAGTGGTTGATAATAGACCAGGATCATCGATCATGGTGGTTTCATGTCATGATCATATTACTGGTGGTTGACCTACCCCTCTGAAAAATATGAGTCAGTTGGGATGATGAAATTCCCATATGGGAAAACAAACAATGTTCCAAAGCACCAACCAGATTATAATGGATGATATAACGGATGATATACCATCATTGATTAATTAACATGAATGATTATCATCTAATTATCTAATCTAATACCTAATGCTTAATATATATATATACTGTGAGTTATAATCAGTACAATATCATTGTCTAATAATCACTACATATATAAATACATATTCATATATACTATCCAGTATAATTATGACATCCATGATACTGTCTGTTCAATCATCTATAAAGATACACCGCTACTATGAAAAAATATATATATCCTTGGACTTGAACTATGGTGAAATCGCCTTGAAGATTTGGGACTCACTGAGGCTGGAACATAATTGCACACCTCGTTGACGATACTCCTGCGGTCTCACAATATGAGTGGTTCATGGTGCAAAATGCATGGCATGAACTCAGCGCAACTGGCAACTGAGCATCCAACTTCTTGTGTTCAGGGTTGCCATGCTCGAGAATGTGACGAATGACCTGAATTCGTTACAATCTACGAATCTATACTTGAAGGATCACCCCACTTAGAAAGTGGTTCATCACTCTGATTTAGTAAGTCCAACAAGTATCCCAAGGTTATCCCATTTCTACATGGCTCATAATCCAAGTTGCGAATAACTACAACCCCTAATGCAGAACTCCGTCCCTTGTTGTGGCCGAATTGAGCTCGTCACATAGTTGCCATATGGATCAGTGGAGAGCTTTCTGATGCCTCGATGTGATTCAAAAGGCATACCTAGCTGACCTAAAACACGAAATGAAAAACTCGATCCCAGCAATTTTCAGCTTACCATCCACCTATATCCAGGCGTTTCACAGGTTTCAAACCGACATGAGAATTTTCCGTCTGCCCCCATCTGTGGCGCGTTGGGTTTCACAACGGCTGGGTCCAAGTCGCTTCGAAGAATCTGACGCAACATCCGTTCCAGTCGCTTTGGGGTGCAATGCCTCGATCTGAACACGAAAAGCGGCGCTAAAAGAGAGACATGGTGAAAAACATGAATATCCACTAAATATAATTAAATACCATAATTTAAATTATATTATTTGATATCAATATCATTCAATTTCTAATATTTCTATATTCAATCCTCTGGAATATCAGGGCGGATTTCCAGTTGGACCTTTTGTGTCGAATATGTATCAATTTTGACCAATGGTATCTTTTTGACTACTGTGGCCATTTTCAAGAATACGATCAGATTCTTAGGAATAGTATCGCTGGTCTACTGGCCGGATTTGACAAAAAGACCGTACAAGGTACAACTTTTTGCATTTGGCACCTTTCTTTGGCTGACCTGACTTTGCTTTGCGCATTTTGATTTTTCTGGGCAAGAAATTCCCGGTGAAATGGCGGAAATGCCCGCGAAAAAAGGCGAAACTACCCAGAGTCAACGCGACTGGACAATGACAACATTTTTTTTCAATGGACGTTTCTATTCTGGACGGGAATGTGTAACCAAGGAATAATTGAATATAGTAATATATATATATATATACATAATATACGTATACAAATATCGAGAGAGAGGACAATTAGGACAACCATGAATACACTGTTACCAGTTGGGGCTGGAAAGCTTAGCCGTTATGAGGTTAAATGCTGGATGTAGATTGGTTTATATAATTTTTACGTGTGTGTATATATATGATTATATAATTATATATATGTATATTGTGTAACCTGTATATATAATATACCACGACAGATGGGCACCAACTATTTCAAGCAGCCTCTCCGGTTTCACTGAGCGCCTCTCGTTTCAACAACTAGGAATCACAGGTACAACTGATACTTGGAACAAGTACCTGCCTTTTTGCAAAGAGCAAAAGCCATTTGTCATGTTGGGCTGGATGTTGCAAAACAAATCACTGGCAGCTCACCAACACACCCAGAAGCACTAACATCCGAAGACTACTTGGAAATGCCACGCCGTCCAGGGTCAGGTTGAAGTCGCAACCAAACGTCAAGCTCTGCAAATTGCCTGGGAAGGTCACGCCCTCCAGGTTCTGGTTGAAGTTCTGCCCAAATGTCAAGCTTTGCAGATTGTCTGGGAAGGTCACGCCCTCCAGGTTGCGGTCGAAGTCGCAACCAAACGTCAAGCTCTGCAAATTGCCTGGAAAGGTCGCGCCCTCCAGGTTTTGGTTGAACTCATCACCAAACGTCAAGCTCTGCAGACTGCCTGGGAAGGTCACGCCCTCAAGATTCTGGTTGAACTCATCACCAAACGTCATGCTCTGCAAATTGCCTGGGAAGGTCAGGCCCTCCAGGTTCTGGTTGAACTTCTGACCAAAGGTCAAGGTGTGCAGATTGCCTGGGAAGGTCACGCCCTCCAGGTTCTGGTTGAACTCATCACCAAACGTCAAGCTCTGCAAATTGCTTGGGAAGGTCACGCCCTCCAGGTTCTGGTTGAAGCAGGCGCCAAACGTCAAGCTCTGCAAATTGCCTGGGAAGGTCAGGTTTGGTTGAACACCAGGTCAAGGTGTGCAGATTGCCTGGAAGGTCACGCCCTCCAGGTTCTGTTGAACTCATCACCAAACACCAAGCACTGCAGATTGCCTGGGAAGGTCACGCCCTGTAGGTTGTGGTTGAAGCAAGCGCCAAACGTCAAGCTCTGCAGGTTACCTGGTAAGGTCACGCCCTCCAGGTTCTGGTTGAACTCATCACCAAACGTCAAGCTCCGCAGATTGTCTGGGAAGGTCACGCCCTCCAGGTCTGGTTGAAGCAGGCGCCAAACGTCAAGCTCTGCAGATTGCCTGGTAAGGTCACGCCCTCCAGGTTCTGGTTGAAGCAGGCGCCAAACGTCAAGCTCTGCAGATTGCCTGGTAAGGTCACGCCCTCCAGGTTCTGGTTGAAGCGGGCGCCAAACGTCAAGGTCTGCAGATTGCCTGGTAAGGTCACGTCCTCCAGGTTCTGGTTGAACTCATCACCAAACGTCAAGCTTTGCAGATTGCCTGGGAAGGTCACGCCCTCCAGGTTCTGGTTGAAGTTCTGCCCAAATGTCAAGCTCCGCAGCTTGTGTGGGAAGGTCACGCCCTCCAGGTTCTGGTTGAACCCATCACCAAACGTCAAGCTCTGCAGATTGTCTGGGAAGGTCACGCCCTCCAGGTTCTGGTTGAAACTCTTCCCAAACGTCAAGCTCTGCAAATTGCTTGGGAAGGTCACGCCCTCCAGGTTCTGGTTGAACCCCCAACCAAAGGTCAAGCTCTGCAAATTGCCTGGGAAGGTCACGCCCTCCAGGTTCTGGTTGAAGCAGGCGCCAAACGTCAAGCTCTGCAGATTGCCTGGTAAGGTCACGCCCTCCAAATTCTTGTTGAAGCAGGCGCCAAACGTCAAGCTCTGCAGATTGCCTGGTAAGGTCACGCCCTCCAGGTTCTGGTTGAAGCAGGCGCCAAACGTCAAGCTCTGCAGATTGCCTGGCAAGGTCACGCCCTCCAGGTTCTGGTTGAAGCGGGCCCCAAACGTCAAGGTCTGCAGATTGCCTGGGAAGGTCACGCCCTCCAAATCCTGGTTGAACATCCAACCAAATGTCAGGTTTTGCAGGGTCTCTGGCAGGTTGCGCAAATAGTAACTGGTTGTGGCACCTTCTATGCATGTCAACCCTTCCAATGCAAGTGGGTCTTCTTGGCTTGCCGTTCCTTGAACAAAGGACCATGCATCACCCAGATCCGTTGGACAAAAGGTACACGTCAATGTCGCTTCCTGGCCCACAATACCTTGCTCTTGCAAGGTCTTGTCGAGCATCAACTGAGAAAGGTCTTGATACAAATGACATTTTGCACCCGGTTTTGATGGGAGTTTCCCTGCAACCATCTTTCGCACTTCGTGGCCGGTGCAAACTGCAGCAACCTTCGCTCGCATCAATTCTTCACCGCTCAAGCCACACACCTTGAGGTCCACCAGGTGAAGTTGAGGCAGTTGGCCGCTGAGGGCAGAAACATCAGGTCCCGCCGTATCACCAAGGCTGTTGGTCGACATTGAGGCAGGGGGAGCCCTTGCGTGGTTGAACCAATTTCAGAAATATATGTTCTGAAAATGGGTAGAAATGTTCTGATTCTCCGAGCAACATTGTGCAACATCTAAACCTCTCTGATTGCTGAGTATTCACAGGAGCCATCAAAGGGAAGTGGTGCAGTAGTTAAGCCTTTTCCATCTGCTTGTGGATTCCGCTCCAAAACAAGGAGGCAAAGAAGGAGACGCACTGTGGGTTGAAATTCTGCGGGGCTCAAACAGGTTCTCAGAGTCGGATCCCAAAGATGAAGCCACACCGGTAACAACCATGGGGCAGAACGGCTGACCCCATTCTTTAACGAAAAAGTTATCCAAATCATCCCACCCAACTACTCCGGCAATTTCCACCATGTTTGGCTATGGATGATATGTAATTACCCATATCTTTATGGTTACACCTGGTCAAATTCCAAATTTTGTTGGCGAAAGCATAATGTTTGGCAAATCCCCCACATTGCCTTTGGATACAATTGGTATGTAATTGGTAATATACACCATTATTAATGATATTCCATAACATCTCATACGCCCTTTAAAAAAAATGCTTAGACCCCACTTCATCTACCCTCTAGTTATGACGTTCACAGTTCGCCATGGTTTGGTATCGATGGCCCATAGAACGAAATAGATGATCTTCCCAGCGAACGAAACCTCCATTGATTTTCGGGATTTTCCATGGCTACCCTCTGGTTATTTAACATAGCCATGGAAAATGGCCCATTTATAGATGATTTTCCCATTGAAACCTCCATTTATAGGGGATTTTCCATGGCTATGTTAAATAACCAGATGGTATATACTATGTTAGTCATAACCAGATGGTACCAAGCCATGGATCCATCGATCCATGGATCATCATCACCGTCCGATCCAGGGGTTTTCTGAGGAGTCGGACTCCAAAAGGCGTTGAATGATGCGACATCCATAGATGTGCGCAGCCATGGCTTCAGCCTTGTCCTCACAAAGGGATATATGGATCTGTCTGAAAAAAAAAACCAACGGCACTTCAGATTCATGGCATCATGGAAAGCATGATATGTATATATATAATCTTACATATATATATATAATCTTATATATATATATATAAGATAATCTTATATATATACCAAGTACATCATGTAGCTATATATGTTATACGTTATATGGTGTTACATTATGTCAAATGATGGCACATGATGTCACATGATATTACAGTATATGTCAACCCTGGATTCATAAACTCTGTGATTGGCGTGTTACCCCCATGAAATACAGTGAACTCCCTTGATTGATAAACTATGTTATTCGAGTGTTACTCTCTTGATATCAATATACATATATATATATATATCATAACATATTATATATATATATATCATGACATATATTATCATATTATTAATATATGGCTATGGATCAATACCTATTAATACCACTATTTTGATGTTCACCAGGGGTACAAGGTTTTGACACACTGCCATATAGGAATCCTTCCACCCACCCCCCCCCACTCTTTATTAATGGGTCCTCCACAGCCTCCACGACAAACGACACGGACTCCGGCGGCATTTGTTCGATGCACTTCTGGACCACGTGGTTGCCATGCATCGACTTGATGCAATCCTTAACGGTTACCCTCTGGTAATTTAACATAGCTATTGAAAATGGCCATTTATAGTGGATCTTCCCATTAAAAATGATGATTTTCCATAGTTATGTAACAGTTTACCAGAGGGTAACAGCGGAGATGGTCGAAGATCGGAAGTGCTTCTAGATAGATCATTGGATACATCGATAAATGGTGAACTATCAATGATCAATAGTTGGATATATCGATTAATATCATGATTCATATCAATACTTGGACCTAGTGGTACCTGAAATTTATCATGATATATATATATATATCAGATATCAAAATAAACTATCCGTGAAATCAAGGCATGTCAGATTCTGATCCCAGTCACAAGAACTCCATGTTTCAGCTCTCCAGCCAGCATCGATTGAAGTTCTGGTGGGCAAACTTGGAACGCCTCGCAACATCCCAAAGCTGACTCCGGTGGGCTTTGTCTGTGGAAAAAAGCCCAATGAAATGGCACTCCAACTTTGCATTTCTTGATAGTATCATATGTTTATAGAAGCGAAAAAAGGTCGAATAAAACATAATAAAACTATGTCTAACTCATAGTAGATGTATTTATGATTTATATTATTTATATAGTATATTTTCTAGTAGGATGTTCTATCCTTTTGGGCTGACGAAGGGGAAGCGGCCCAGGTGCGCCTTCTGAATGACACGGCAGCCATGCATCTTCAAGGAGAGCTTCACCACGGACTGTCTGAACTTCTCGACGATGGCCTGTCGCGAATTAAATGGTGGCCATCCATCATTTATCTGGGTAAATTATAATGGGGATTCAATGGGATTCAATGGGATTAATTTCATGGATATGGACAGATCATGAAAATCATGATGGGAATAATTTTGAATGATTCTGGGTAAATTATAACGACCTCAGTGTTCTCCCTCACTGGTAATGATGGTTAGTAAGGGAAATCATCCCAATATGGCCCAACAATTCAGGTTAGTGAAATATTATAATTTACCCAGATTTATGGAGGTTTCCTATGGGGGATCCCCATTTATATGGATGGTTTATGGAAAAATATGGAAACATATGGATGGTTTACAATGGAAAAAATGAAAAAAAACCTATTAATGGTAATAATATGGAGGTTTCCTATGGGGGATCCCCATTTATATGGATGGTTTATGGAAAAATATGGAAACATATGGCTGGTTTACAATGGAACAAATGAAAAAAAAACCTATTAATGGTAATAATATGGAGGTTTCCTATGGGGGATCCCCATTTATATGGATGGTTTATGGAAAAATATGGAAACATATGGATGGTTTACAATGGAAAAAAATGAAAAAACACCTATTAATGGTAATAATATGGAGGTTTCCTATGGGGGATCCCCATTTATATGGATGGTTTATGGAAAAATATGGAAACATATGGATGGTTTACAATGGAAAAAAATGAAAAAACACCTATTAATGGTAATAATATGGAGGTTTCCTATGGGGGATCCCCATTTATATGGATGGTTTATGGAAAAATATGGAAACATATGGATGGTTTACAATGGAAAAAATGAAAAAAAAACCTATTAATGGTAATAATATGGAGGTTTCCTATGGGGGATCCCCATTTATATGGATGGTTTATGGAAAAATATGGAAAAATATGGATGGTTTACAATGGAAAAAAATGAAAAAAAAACTATTAATGGAAAAAACTTGACAAATCCCCAAAAAATACAACATGATTTGGGGGTATCCCCATTTCCGGAAACCTCCAGTTCACTATTTTTTTCGAATCATTCCAGTGACAGAAAAACTCCCGTGAAAGCATCTCTGAGGTGCCCAGGGTGCCCCAGCACGACGCTGGTCAGGAGTGCAAATGTCAAGAAGCTTTTGAACCTTGGACGGGAACATCCACAGCTATATAAAAATGGCAACCATCCAAAAAAAAACCTCTTAAAACTCATCCCATTTTGCAGTTGAACCCCACTTTTCAGTCTGTCCTCCCCAAATAAAAAAGGCGTTCCCGGACTGAGCTCCCTCCGGACTGAGCTCCCCCGACCACGGCACTCCCGGAGGAATCACCAGCCAGCATCTCCATCTGACAGGACATGTTTCTAAGAACGTCAATCCAGGAAAACCAGGCTCTTTATGAATCTTTCCTATGGTATTTCCTATGGTTTTTCCTGGTTTTTGGATGTTTTTGGCTCCATTCTTCCAAGAAATGCGCACCTTTGGGAGTAGTGCATCGAAGACTTCTCTGCGTTCAGCAGTATTGGCTGTCTCCAACTTGGCCTAAACTGGGATGGATTTCCGCCGGAAAGGAGACGTCGAACACAAAAAAAGTGAACAGCTCAACAAATCGGATCCATTAAATTAAACGGATGGTTGAGAAATGTTGAGAACAAACTAAATTGATGGGTGATATATAAAATATTATAAAATCACCCATTTAGTGATTCCTGATCAACATGGATGACTGGTAAAAACCCAAAAAAAACAGTCCGTTTTTTCTGTCCATTTCATCATTTGGTATTCCATACAATTCCGGTCCATCATCCCTACATGGAGGTTTCCCAAAATGGGGTTACCCCAAAACCATGGGTTTCAATACTAAAATTGTCTAATAAGTCAAATATTAATCAGTAACTATTAGACTGAGTCAGTATTATAGATATTTATACCATCAGATTATATAAATGGATTTAAAACTGGTCTAATAGCCTCTGGTAATTTAACATAGCTATTGAAAATTGCCATTTATAGTGGTTTTTCCCATGAAGAATGGTGATTTTCAATAGTTATGTAACAGTTTACCAGAGGGTACAGTGATAAATCTAATACTGATACGCCAATTTTAGGGTCCGACGCGCCTGGAGGAAGCGACTGCCCTCAGTGTCTTGGGCCAATTCCGCTACCTGCGGGGCGATCAGACGAGCATCATGTGAGTACCATGTGAGTACCAAGATGTTGAAAAGGCTGCTATCTAATGATATAATTTCCATTTTTTAGGGGGCTAGTCATGGTTAGTCTAACTTTATGGCTATAACTCTATGAATACAAGTACTTTATGGGTCTACTATTACCTTGTGGATCTTTGTGGCTACAGCTATTATTGATTTACACAAAATATTGGGAATACAGAATATTTCATATTTGATCATCATCATATTCTACCAAAAACGTCTCCAATTTATGTCGGTCTTCTCCATGAGACAAACAAAATGCATCGACCGATCATCGACCGCCAAGGCGCATGTGAGAGAACGTCCCTCAACAGCACTTGGCTCTTTGCTCCATCGCGTCGGACCTGGCTTGGACTGGATGCAAAATCAAGTTGTAAAGTCACCACTAAAATACAAGGTAAATTACCTATAATAATCTGATAATCTATAATCATCCATAATAATCTAAAACTATCTATAGTAATCTATAATAATCTAAAACTATCTATAATAATCTAAAATAATAATCTACGATAATCGACGATCAACTATCATAATCTGAATAATAATCTATGATTATCTATAATTATCTACCATTACAGGCAAAGTTGTTAACCCTGATGATGTTTCACTCCCCATCTTTTCCAGAGACGAACTTCGATGAGAATTCATTCCAATGCATCCGCTCAAGGCGTCAAGGACATGCTGAAAAACATGCCTGGTAGTCCCTGATAGGGTAGACGATTCGCCCCTTTCCAAAACCATCAACCAATCATCATATCCCCATCCCTGGTACATTGTCCATTCATATTTCATATAGTTCCATTACATTTCCATTAAAGGATATTAAAGGACTGCATAGCATTATCATATTTTATAGTTCCATGATATTCTCAAATCATTAATATCAACAACTAATACAGGGTTTGGGAATATGATGGAAATATATGACATTATTACAGATAACGTTAACATTGATATATCATTAATAAACAACTATGTAATATCATTAGAATATCAATGATCATATTATATGTATGTATATATATATATCAATAATATATCATTCATATTTTCTAGGTGAAGAATATTATTCATCTCACCTAATACATCTCCTCCCGTTTCCAGAAACAGATCACTAGGCCTCTGCCAACGCATCCAAGACGGCAGTGTTGCCCAAAAGCTCACCTAAAGAAGTGGTCAAGTGGTCGATCTGAAATCTTACTGAAGATGTGTATATATATATATGGATGATACATATATATATATATTATGATAATGTAGTAAGATTATATATGTATAGTATTGTATAGTCAAAATCATGATTACTATATAATACATATTGACTTGTTATGACATTTCATGAACATGATATATGATGCTACTTGTTTATGAACATCTATAGACTGAACATGTATAACTTATATAACACGTGATTTATGTATCTCACATATCATGTATAACTTATATAACATGGTTATTGAAGCGAGATATTTCAAAACTAGTAACTAGTATTCATGATATGGATAAGATATGTTTATGTATATGTATATACACACCAAATTGCTCCACAAGTACGTGGAGAAGTATCCATCTGCTACTTTGGAAGCAAGCTCCTCACCTACGGCAAGCGGTGTACTGGTTGCACCCGATTCAAACTCCTCCCAGGCAGATTCGTTGTTCTCCAGCACAGAAGACAATTCGTAGGAACAATTCATGAACTTATCTGGGTAAATTATAATATTTCACTAACCTGAATTAAGGCCATTTGGGGATGATTCCCCTTACTAACTATGATTCCAGTGAGGTCGCAGTGAGGTCGTTATAATTTACCCAGAACTTATATGCTGGAAAGTCCCAGACATAGTGGTCTCTTCATGGGGGGTGCCAGTGGATTATGATCTCCAATTTATTGTTCACCTGAAATAAAGCAGCGATTTGGCCATGGTTGCCCTTGCAATTCCCATGATTCCAGTGACGTCGCGACATGAGGTCATAATTATCTAGCTATAGATATAAAGATATAGTGTGATCTCAATTGTATCCGTATTATAACAGATATTACAGGGTAAATCACCATTTCATCACCACTTAATCACCATTGTCTTGTTCCCTCCACTTTTCACCAGTCAGATTTCACTCTCCTTCTTTCCCTTGCGACCGCTTCGCTTCTTTGCCTGACAAAGGCCGAATGTGCCGTGTGACCTACGTGGATCTACCTGGTGGTTCATCCCAGGTGGGTGAGTTCACCCCAGTGATAATGGGATTTAATGGGATTCAATGGTGATTTAATAGTGATTTAATGGGATTTATTAGGATATATATGATGGTATACCCTCTGGTTATTTAACATAGCCATGGTATAAATGGCCCTAATCGAAATAGACAAAAAAAATGGTGGATCTTTCCATGGCGAACTGTGAGTCATAACCAGATGGTAATCCTACTTAGCCGACTTGGCCCATTTATAACCAAGGTATACCAAGGTCACAACCTACCTACTATATAAGTGGGATGATCCTCCAAGTAACATGCCGTAACATGACTGGTTATAGTCCTGCAGCCAACCCAAAAAAAAAGGTCAGTGGCTCACCATTCTTCTTTTAGAGGCAAAGATTGGGCGTTGGCAACCATCCAGGAAATCACTCATGATCTACTTAGAATCGACTTGGCTTACTTTATCTTTCCTGACCCAAAGAAAAACTGAAACCACATGCCGCCATTTTGAATTGGCTACAGCTCCATTTCTGCGGGCTCAAAGCAAAGCTTCTTATGACAGGACCACTCACCAAATGAACCGTGACACCCGGTTGGAAAGTCCCTGAAAATGAAGTCCCAGCTAAGGGATTGCGCCAATTCAAGTATCAATATGTATCAATCAATATACTCTATAGTCCCCTGAATGGATATATCTTGAATGGACTAAGCCCCTTATTCACTTATAATGGATTTCCAGCTCATGGATATCATATTCTTATATCGGTCAACGCGTCATCTGCGCACATTGAAAGCGAGTCATCTGCGCACATTGCAAACGAGTCATCCGCGCACAGAGAAACCGCGTCATCCGCGCACAAAGAGCGGTCATCCGCGCACATTGATGCTGGGAACCAGCCATTTCGGGTTTGGTTGGGGTGGGGGGGTGGGGTGGGATGATAACGTTCATGTTCCTATGCACACACCGGCACAGCAACCTCATCATCTTTCTTCCCGTAGAGCAGAGACAGGCACAGCTCTTTCATGATCAGTTACCGGTGGGGTGGGGTGAGTTAATAAGGTTCATGTTCCTATGCCTGCACACGCACAGCAACCTCATCATCTTTCTTGCTGTAGAGCACTTACACGCACTGCTCTTTCATGATCAGTTACAAAACTGCCCCACTCAAAATCTCAAGATTTTTCTCCATCCCTACTCTTGACATCCCTACAGATGAGTTGTGTGACTTGTGAGATGAGAGGAGTTGTGTGAGATGAAATGTGTGCATTGTGTGAGACAACTTGAGTGAAGTTGAGAGAGAAAGAAGCAACTCAGGAGGAGAAGGAGGAGAAGGCAAGGAATACAAACATAAAAACAAAAGCCCCACACAGAGATGTGAGGAAAAAAACCATAACTTGATGAGTTGTGTGATGATGTAAAAAAAGCTAGAAGAAGAATCATGTTACAGAGCTACAATGACAAAATCACACAACAAAAACGTGCACAGACGACCAACCGTCTGACGTGCACAGACGACCCACTTTTGACGTGCACAAACGACCCCCCAACCCTTATAATATACATATATCATATATTATCATATATATATATTAGTAATTATGCTAAGTAGTACTGTAGGTCATCAGCCATCAACCAATTCTGTTTCTTTTTCACTGCTCAGTTATCAGATGCTATGACCATTGCTTCAGAAGCCGTGGCATCGGCTGGACCGCCTGAGGAGCCGTTTCCAGTGCATCACTGGAACTGGGCTTCGTACCTCGAGGAGTTGGGGAAACTCATGGGGGAACCCATGGTCAATGGATTGGTGTAAGGAAAAAATTACAGGAAAACACCATTTTTGATGGGAACATCCATGGTTTCCTGTAGATTTTCCCTTAAACCAATCCATTGACCATGGGCTTTTCATGGAATTTTCATAGGTTTTTTTGGAACAAAGCCTGTCAGAATCATGGGGAAAAAAAACGCAAGTTGTCTGGGCACTGCCGTCGGTGGGGATTTGCACTCCAGCCTGATGTCGGTGAAATATGCGGAACGAACTTTCAGGCTGGAACCTGACAGTTGAAGTGGTATAGAGTCTGTTTTTTGCATGCAGTATGCTGCGATTATGATCATCCATATCTGGTTGGTGGGATTATTGTTGGGATTGTTGTTCCCAATATGGAAAGTAACAAAAAATGTTCCAAAGCACCAACCAGATATCATCCCATTCACCAACCATTTCGGGGTCATTTTAAACCATTGCTTTCCCACAGAGTGTTGTGGCCATGGTTTTTACAACTGCAGAGCTGAAACCAGGTGTCTGGCTGGCAGGGCCGCCCCGCCTGCGGATGCTGCAGTGCACATGTAATAAAGGGCTTGTGCTCCAAAAAAAGTTTCCCTGAATCCCTTCCGGTTTGAATCAATATTCTCAAAACCCATGGAAAATGATGAAAACGACATGCCCATCAAAATGGGGTATAGCCCCATGTTTTTCAGCAACGCCATTGACGATGCAGAAACCTACGATCCTACCTCCTGATCAGCCCGACTTTCAAGCTGCAGGAGGCTACTAGATCCATGAACCAACAGCATCTGCTGAGAGTTCAGAGCTAAGATGGGTCTCTGAAAAAACATGTGTTCTTTTTACTTCTTTTTGATGTGAAGTTTCATGGCGAAAATGTGGGAATATTATGGAATACTGAGAATACTGATGATCAACCAGTAGCTTTTGAGATGTGAATATGTTTGGAGGGCCCAATTTTCAGACCCCAAATGCAGCGAAGCGCAAAACTCCACTGACAAATCCAATCCAACGAACGTAACTGTGTCGTTGACACAGTGGCCGCATCCAAATTTACAACAAACCTGCTAACTTCAGATTCTTACAAGTATTTTTCTTTAGTGCCGCTCAATGAAGGATGATCATCAATGTCGCATTTTTTGAAAGGCCAAACAGAAAGGGGTCTGCTTCAGTTTTGGGCGACCCCATGGAGAGCTCCACATCAAAAAAAAACCGTGATTCACTTCGAATCAAGCGATGAGAGGAACTCCAAAGGCAGATCAACTTCTGAGTCTGTCCTCAGAACATGAGCAACGGATCGATGTAAAATGGGGTGAATGTTTGGCTGACTTTTCCCTTGAAGAATCCCTTGAAACATCATTTTACCAAACAAACACACAGAATGTTCATGTAGTAATCTAGCATGAGTTGGGGGAATGTTTCTTGCTGCCAACACATAGATGATACTGTCTTGTAGTTCAACCTAGCTATGGAAATCAGCATGTTTAAAAACGGTAAATCATCGAACTAAATGGGTCGTGGTTTCCAGCTCGCAAACTTTGAAATTAACAGCTGATTCCGAGTTCCTTACCCACATAGTTCATTTGCTTTAAAGCCATCAATGGGGGTACCCCCCAGATACCATCCATTCTAATAATAGGATTTTCATGGATTTTCCATTAACTTATACAATCCATATCTAACATAGACCCGGGCAAGCCGGCGGCGGAAGTTTCCCAAACATAAATGACCTATAGTTCAAAGACACCCTGTCCCGACCGTGTCCTTCCCTCGACACTCCACACCTCACACTGCACACTGCACTCTTCGCACTCCAAACTTCAAACTTCACACTCCACACTTCTCACTTCTCACTGCTTCCTTCACACTCCAAACCTCACACTTCACACTTCACACTTCACACTGCACACTTCAAACTTCACAGTCCACACTTCACACTTCACACTTCACAGTCCACACTTCACACTTCACACTTCACAGTCCACACTTCACAGTACTTCACAGTCCACTTCACACTTCACAGTCCACACTTCTCACTTCGCATTTCACACTTCACACTCCACATTTCACACTTCTCACTTCTCACTGCTTCCTTCACACTCCAAACTTCACACTTCACACTTCACACTTCTCACTTCGCACTTCACACTCCACACTTCACAGTCCACACTTCACACTTCTCACTTCACACTTCTCACTGCTCACTGCTTCCTTCACACTCCAAACTTCACACTTCACACTTCTCACTTCGCACTTCACACTCCACATTTCACTTCACACTTCACACCACACTTCACACTTCTCACTGCTTCCTTCACGCTCCAAACCTCACACTTCACACTTCACACTTCACACTGCGCTCTTCGCACTCCACACTTAAACTTCACACTCGACACTTCACGCCCCACACGTCCAACTGCTCTAAACTTACGTGCAACAAAAAAAACTAGCGCCAAAATGGAGAAACTCATAGAGCTTTGGGTCTCATGTCTGAAAAAAAAATGGTCCAGAATGTCATACATTCAACAAACCACAAAACTCCAACCCATGCTGCACAAGGCATTGAAAGATCTCAGTGAGACCTTGCATTGGCTCGCTCCCACGACAGCTTTGTTTTTTCACATGTATGCAATACGATCATGGTTGTTTGTGCGGTTCGTAACTACGCACACATAAACCAAAAGCAAGTGACAGAGGCATTCTGCGGTTCGCAAGGCTAAATGAAAGGCGAAGCTACTGAAGGACAGCAATTCAAACTCGGATGCGGTTCATAACAACGCATTGCACCCACGCACAAGATCATTGTCTGCATTGCTGACACGTGTCCCGAAACATGCTTCGAGACTTGTTTTTTGCATTTGTCGCAAGTCATCTTCACGATTTTCCAGTATAGTAAGCAAGCGTGCGAAATCTGCCTCGATGGCAGGACATAACCCCGCACCATCGGCACAAATGATCTCCTCCCATTCATCCACAACCTTTTGCTGTTCATCTGTCATACTTGTCTTTTTGCGCTTAAAGAAATTTCGGCAAAACATTAAGTCCTTGTCTGTATTGCTCAGGCTGCTGTTGAAACATGCTTCGAGACTTGTTTTTTGCATTTGTCGCAAGTCATCTTGACGGTTTTCAAGTATAGTGAGCAAACGTGCACAATCTGCCTCGATGGCAGGACATAACCCCGCACCATCGGCACAAATGATCTCCTCCAATTCATCCACAACCTTTTGCTGCTCATCTGTCATACTGGTTTTTTTGCGCCTCAAGAAATTTCGGCAAAAACTCAAGTCCTTGTCTGTATTGCTCAGGCTGCTGTTGAAGCATGCTTCGAGACTTGTTTTTTGCATTTGTCGCAAGTCATCTTGACGGTTTTCAAGTATAGTAAGCAAGCGTGCAAAATCTGCCTCGATGGCAGGACATAACCCCGCACCATCGGCACAAATGATCTCTTCCCATTCATCCACAACCTTTTGCTGCCCATCTGTCATACTGTTTTTTTTGCGCCTCAAGAAATTTCGGCAAAAACTCAAGTCCTTGTCTGTATTGCTCAGGCTGCTGTTGAAGCATGCTTCGAGACTTGTTTTTTGCATTTGTCGCAAGTCATCTTGACGGTTTTCAAGTACAGTAAGCAAACGTGCAAAATCTGCCTCGATGGCAGGACATAACCCCGCACCATCGGCACAAATGATCTCCTCCCATTCATCCACAACCTTTTGCTGCTCATCTGTCATACTGGTTTTTTTGCGCTTGAAGAAATTTCGGCAAAACATTAAGTCCTTGTCTGTATTGCTCAGGCTGCTGTTGAAGCATGCTTCGAGACTTGTTTTTTGCATTTGTCGCAAGTCATCTTCACGGTTTTCAAGTACAGTAAGCAAACGCGCGAAATCTGCCTCGATGGCAGGACATAACCCCGCACCATCGGCACAAATGATCTCTTCCCATTCATCCACAACCTTTTGCTGCTCATCTGTCATACTGGTTTTTTTGCGCTTGAAAAATTTTTGGCAAAACTTTAAGTCCTTGTCTGTCTTGCTCAGGTTGCTGTTGAAACATGCTTCGAGACTTGTTTTTTGCATTTGTCGCAAGTCATCTTGACGGTTTTCAAGTATAGTGAGCAAACGTGCAAAATCAATGTCCTCCGCCTCACTGCAAAGCCTTCGTTCCCAATCCATTAGAGTCGCTTTTTGGTCAGCCGTTACTTGCTTCTCAATCTTATTGTAAATTCTATAATACTTGGCTCGCTCTGCATTTGCTTCGTATCCTCTGGTGCCTGTCCCTGTCCGCAAGCATGCTTTCAAATCCGTGGCGCGCAAAGCCTTCAACACAAGCTCTTCTTTCTGCAAGAAACAAAGAAGGTCTTCGAACAGCGACGATTCCATGGCGCTAGCCTACGCGGACCACAGCGTCGCACGTACCCACGCTTCCGCGGACCAGAACGTCGCACGTATGCGTTGCGAGTCTACGCAGTTGCAAGGTTGTATCGTGTACATGCATGATGTTTGTTGACACTTGTTCACGTAAAACACTATATATGATGGCTACGTTGCATGCTTGCTATATATGATCGTGTTCTCGCCGAATCGATTTAATCACATGCATGATCCAAACAATGGCGGCCGGAACATGCACAATTCGCACACAGCACTGCCTCAGGATATACACATGCACTGCCTCATTGCATTTGCCAAGCTTTGGTGTTTGCAAGCAGACAAAATCTGAAAAAAATCTCACTTCACACTTCACACTCCACACTTCACACTTCTCACTGCTGCCTTCACGCTCCAGACCTCACACTTCACACTTCACACTTCACACTTCTCACTTCTCACTGCTTCCTTCCCACTCCAAACTCCACACTTCACACTTCTCACTTCGCACTTCACACTTCGCACTTCACACTTCACAGTCCACACTTCACACTTCTCACTTCTCACTTCTCACTGCTTCCTTCCCACTCCAAACTCCACACTTCACACTTCTCACGTCGCACTTCACACTCCACATTTCACACTTCACAGTCCACACTTCACACTTCTCACTTCTCACTGCTTCCTTCACACTCCAAACTTTACACTTCACACTTCTCACTTTGCACTTCACACTCCACACTTCTCACTTCTCACTGCTTTCTTCACACTCCAAACTTCACACTTCACACTTCACACTCCACACTTCACACTGCACTCTTTGCACTCCAAACTTCACACTCCACACTTCACACTTCACATTTCACATTTCACACTTCTCACTTCTCACTGCTTCCTTCACACTCCAAACTTCACACTTCACACTGCACTCTTCACGCTCCACACTTCACACTGCACTCTTCACACTCCACATTTCATCTCATCTGAGCTCTTCTCACCTTATCCCAGCTCATCTCTTCTCATCTAGTCCCTTCTCATATGTCATCTATTAAGCTTTCAATATAATTCCCAGCACTACTACTAATCACTGTCGCACCCTTGATGCACCCACTCCAATGCGATTTACGAAGTCCAGCTGCAAAAGACAATAGTATTGCGCATGCAGCCACAGCACGAAGCAACCTTGACGCAGCCATTACAATGCGATCTGCAGAGACTGAGTTGCAAAACACAATAGAACTACGCGCAACGGCGTCGGAAATTGTAGCTCCAAAACCGGATCTCGACGCCAGAGCAAAAAAAAGACGATTTTGAAGCACTTTTTAAAAGGATTTTTAGAAGGAAAATCACTAGCGCCAAAATGAAGAAAATCTGCTGACAAATCACTGTCGCAGCCTTCATGCAGCCACTCCAATACGATTTACGAGATCCAGCTGCAAAAGACAATAGTATTACGCATGCAGCCAAAGCAGGAAGCAACCTTGCAATCCCATTTACATTGCGGGAAGGATCCGACAGTTGCAAATCACAATGGAATTCCATCGGCAACTCATCCACCAGCACCACTTGCAATCCCATTTACATTGCGGGAACGATCCTACAGTTGCAAATCACAATGGAATTCTGTCGACCGCACATGCACGAAACACAGTTGAAACCCCATTTACAATGCGGAACCGATCCGAGCATGATCCGACCATGATCCGAGACCGATCCGACCATGATCCGACCACACACGAGACCGTCTCGCAACCGTCGCACCGCAGAGGTAGATCATCGAGGTTCGGGGACGGACTTTGTATGGAAAAACATAGGGTTTCGTGCATCTGCTATCTCTCAAAAACGCATTTCGTGCGAGACTACGAATGCAACCACAGCACGAAGCAACCTTGACGCAGCCATTACAATGCAATCTGCAGAGACTGAGTTGCAAAAGACAATAGAACTACGCGCATTGGAGTGCGGAAATTGTAGCTCCAAAACCGGATCTCGATGCCAGAGCGAAAAAAAAAACGATTTTGAAGCACTTTTTAAAAAGATTTTTAGAAGGAAAATCACTAGCGCCTAAATGAAGAAAATCTGCTGACAAATCACTGTCGCAGCCTTCATGCAGCCACTCCAATACGATTTACGAAGTCCAGCTGCAAAAGACAATAGTATTACGTATGCAGCCAAAGCAGGAAGCAACCTTGCAATCCCATTTACATTGCGGGAAGGATACTACAGTTGCAAATCACAATGGAATTCCATTGGCAACTCATCCACCAGTGCCACTTGCAATCCCATTTACATTGCGGGAACGATCCTACAGTTGCAATTCACAATGGAATTCTGTCGACCGCACATAGACGAAACACAGTTGAAACCCCATTTACAATGCGGAACCGATCCGAGACCGATCCGACCATGATCCGACCATGATCCGACCATGATCCGACCATGATCCGACCACACACGAGACCGTCTCGCACCCGTCGCACCGCAGAGGTAGATCATCGAGGTTCGGGGACAGACTTTGTATGGAAAAACATAGGGTTTCCTGCATCTGCTATCTCTCAAAAACGCATTTCGTGCGAGACTTCCTCCAAAACTCCATCGGCAACTCATCCGGCAGCACCACTTGCAATCCCATTTGCATTGCGGGAACAATCAATGCCCTAACTAACTCTTGCTTTAACTAACCCTTTCCCTGACGAACTCTTTCTTTGCTAACTCTTTCTTTGACTACCTCATATATCCTGACTAACTCTGTCTTTGACAAACTCTTTCCCTGACTAACTATTTCTTTGACTAACTCTTTCTTTGACTAACTGTTTCCCTGACTAACTGTTTCTTTGACTAACTCTTTCTTTGACTAACTGTTTCTTTGACTAACTGTTTCTTTGACTACCTGTTTCTTCGACGAACTCTTTCTTCGACGAACTCTTTCTTTGACTAACTGTTTCTTCGACGAACTCTTTCTTCGACGAACTCTTTCTTTGACTAACTGTTTGACTAACTGTTTCTTTGACTAACTCTTTCTTTGACGAACTCTTTCTTTGACTAACTGTTTCTTTGACTACCTGTTTCTTCGACGAACTCTTTCTTCGACGAACTCTTTCTTTGACTAACTGTTTCTTTGACTACCTGTTTCTTTGACTAACTGTTTCTTTGACGAACTCTTTCTTTGACTAACTCTTTCCCTGACTAACTGTTTCTTTGACTAACTGTTTCTTTGACTAACTCTTTCCCTGACTAACTGTTTCTTTGACTAACTCTTTCTTTGACTAACTCTTTCTTTGACTAACTGTTTCTTTGACTAACTCTTTCTTTGACTAACTCTCTGTTTGACTAACTGTTTCTTTGACTAACTCTTTCTTTGACTAACTGTTTCTTTGACTAACTCTTTCTTTGACTAACTCTCTGTTTGACTAACTGTTTCTTTGACTAACTCTTTCTTTGACTAACTCTTTCTTTGACTAACTCTTTCCCTGACATTCTAAAAGTCCGTAACACGGAAGTTTCTCCCACTAAACTTCCTTTGAATAATTATATTACAGACTATAATTGGATTCTTCCCAATAGGATTTTCCATTCTATAATAATAGGATTTTCCAACTATTGGGGTACCCCGCATTTTAAGAAACTTGGGTGACCCTGCCCGCCGAGGCTCCAAAAGCTGAAAGAGTTGTCGTGCACGTTCCCGAGGGGCGTCACAGCCAAGATCAGCACCAATACGTGTATTCCTAAAAGGAACATGATGCCATGATATGCCATGGGTAAGCTTGGGATTCTTGAGTCTTATTTGTAAATGTATCAGTGACTATCAGTGTGTTTGTTCATTGTAAAATGAGATGATTGGTTCATCTATCGTATTGTTCTTCTTGTTCCATCCATTTCTGGGTCGCTTCTCAGACCATCCCGTGTCATCAAAACGGCGGCCGTTTCTGAAAATGGGGTATTTGCCGTATACATCACAAATAGCTTTACAAGTGGGGGATATAACCATCATATTGGACTATTGGGTACCCTATTTTCAGACAAACCCATAGTATCATAAGATCATATAAGATCAATACCCATGGGTGATGAATTTCATATCCAAACCCAAAGAAAACAGCTTCGCACAGCTTCGCTATGCATCGGTTGGCTCTTGGACTGAGGCCACGACACTTCAAAGATACAAATGCGACCATCCTCAAATCGCAGGGAGAAAAATTGCGTTCGACAGGTTTGTCTGAACATTGGGGACAGAGACTCCGAAATGACAATTTAGTGAAATGATGATAATGATAATGATAATGATAATCCAATTGGAATTGAGGACACCCTATTTTCAAACTATAGCCCACTTGTTGCTGGATGTTTTTCAGGATCTGAGAACCCCTGCTGGTCGTTGCTTGTAGTTGAAGTTCAGAATGCCATCCTCAAATGGGGGCAAAACCAGACATGGCTCACATCAACGAACCATCCATGGTTTGCCATCCAAGTGACATATTCCTGAAGGAATCTGGCCTTGGAAACACCAAAAATAAATGTGAACATCTCCATATTATGGAGGTGTAGATAGGTTTCCGTTTTGTCATGGGCTTGAGGACGAGATGCTCTGAGAAAGGGGCATCGGTCGGCATCGCTTACGGACACTTGTGGTCGTTCTATTGTCGTTATAACTCTCACCATAGGACACAGGACATGTCAAGGGAGTTCAGATTCAAATGATCATGTCAGGACACTGGGGTGAAAGTCGACTGCAGGATCGCCCGTTTTTGCGGTGTTGCTCACTATTCCGAAACGAAGCCAAGCTGAGGCGTTGCTCACTATTCCGCGTCTATTGACGGCGATGACCTGCGGAAGCAGCTACAAAATGATACAAGTACCGCTGGCCCTTGAGCAACCTGCATAGTTTTTGGCAAAAACCAATGTGCGAGGATGCTCGGCGCCGAGGGTGCGCTCACCGGCCTCCAAAGCTCTCCTGAAGAGCGCTTCTGCATCTTTCAGCAGGCCCCTGGCATTGAGGCAATTTGCCAAATTGTTGACTGAGAGCAATGTGTCAGGATGGTCCGCACCGAGGGTGTGCTCACGGGCCTCCAAAGCTCTCCTGAAGAGCGCTTCTGCATCTTTCAGCAGGCCCCTGGCATTGAGGCAATTTGCCAAATTGTTGACTGAGAGCAATGTGTCAGGATGGTCCGCACCGAGGGTGTGCTCACGGGCCTCCAAAGCTCTCCTGAAGAGCGCTTCTGCATCTTTCAGCAGGCCCCTGGCATTGAGGCAATTTGCCAAATTGTTGACTGAGAGCAATGTGTCAGGATGGTCCGCACCGAGGGTGTGCTCACGGGCCTCCAAAGCTCTCCTGAGGAGCGCTTCTGCATCTTTCAGCTGGCCCTGGCCTGGAGGCAATTTGCCAAATTGTTGACTGAGAGCAATGTGTCAGGATGGTCCGCACCGAGGGTGTGCTCACGGGCCTCCAAAGCTCTCCTGAAGAGCGCTTCTGCATCTTTCAGCTGGCCCCCGGCATTGAGGCAATTTGCCAAATTGTTGACTGAGAGCAATGTGTCAGGATGGTCCGCACCGAGGGTGTGCTCACGGGCCTCCAAAGCTCTCCTGAGAGCGCTTCTGCATCTTTCAGCTGGCCCTGGCCTGAGGCAATTTGCCAAATTGTTGACTGAGAGCAATGTGTCAGGATGCTCGGCACCGAGGGTGTGCTCACGGGCCTCCAAAGCTCTCCTGAGAGCGCTTCTGCATCTTTCAGCTGGCCCTGGCTTTGAGGCAATTTGCCAAATTGTTGACTGAGAGCAATGTGGAAGGATGCTCGGCACCGAGGGTGTGCTCACGGGCCTCCAAAGCTCTCCTGAGGAGCGCTTCTGCATCTTTCAGCCGGCCCTGGAGGCAATTGCCAAATTGTGGACTGAGGCATGTGGAGGATGCTCGGCACCGAGGGTGCGCTTGGGCCTCCAAAGCTTCGCCTGAGGAGCTGCTTCTTCGCGATCTGAGAGGCAATGTGTTACTGAGAGCATGTGTCCGCACCGAGGGTGTGCTCAAGCGGGGCCCTCCAAAGCTCTCCTGAGGAGCGCTTCTGCATCTTTCAGCTGGCCCTGGCCTGGAGGCAATTTGCCAAATTGTTGACTGAGAGCAATGTGTCAGGATGGTCCGCACCGAGGGTGTGCTCACGGGCCTCCAAAGCTCTCCTGAGGGGCGCTTCTGCATCTTTCAGCTGGCCCTGGCCTGGAGGCAATTTGCCAAATTGTTGACTGAGAGCAATGTGTCAGGATGGTCCGCACCGAGGGTGTGCTCACGGGCCTCCAAAGCTCTCCTGAGGAGCGCTTCTGCATCTTTCAGCTGGCCCTGGCCTGGAGGCAATTTGCCAAATTGTTGACTGAGAGCAATGTTTGAGGATGCTCGGCACCCAGGGTGTGCTCACGGGCCTCCAAAGCTCTCCTGAGGAGCGCTTCTGCATCTTTCAGCTGGCCCCTGGCATTGAGGCAATTTGCCAAATTGTTGACTGAGAGCAATGTGTCAGGATGGTCCGCACCGAGGGTGTGCTCACGGGCCTCCAAAGCTCTCCTGAGGAGCGCTTCTGCATCTTTCAGCTGGCCCTGGCCTGGAGGCAATTTGCCAAATTGTTGACTGAGAGCAATGTGTCAGGATGGTCCGCACCGAGGGTGTGCTCACGGGCCTCCAGAACTTCTGTTAGCAGGATCTTGCTTTCCGGGAAGTAGCCTCGCTTCAGCAGAGCATCCCCCAAACGCGCCTTGGCATCAATCTTGAGCCCAGGACTGTGAGCAGCCGCTGCACGTGCTCGGAGAGCATGTAAGAGGCGAGCTCGAGCATTGGTAACTCCCTCCTCCCCAGCCACCCGGAGAACCACACAGCAGCGCTCGGGCTGCCCGGGCTCATTCAACAGCTTGTCAGCGAGATTCGTGCCCGGTGGCTTTCCTGCTGCCTCCATCTCAGGCGTTGGCCTCACTGAAATGTCGTAGGCATTCTCTGGGTCGATGAGCAAAGGAATGCAGAACGATGCACGTGGTGGATACACTCTCCTCACATAGTCTTCACCATGAAGTTCCACATCTCGCCTCATCATATTTCCAAAATTGTTATCTAAGAGTTCCATTCGGTCTGCCCATCGCTCGGGAGATTTAGGGACGCTGTACACGCCCCCACCAGGCGTTTGCAGTTTCTCCCTCTGTTTTCAGTGAGGCCCATACCTCTGCAGCTTCTTTCTCAAGGGCCGTGATGTTCCTGAAAGGTAGTTCCTCCGTGTAGTGGAAGAATGCCTTGGCACCTGGCCTTGCTGACAAATCAATGGCATCTTTCCATACAACGATGCCAGTTCGAAGATGCTTCCAGGAATGGTTGAAATCCTTGCTGTCCTGGTACTCTTCACTTTGGAACTCTCCACCCTCTCGGTATCCAGTTTCGAAGTAGCGTCGCAAGTCGTCCACAGTGGAAGCTGCCCTCATGGCTTAGACAAAGGCAACGATAAGAAAAATCCTGAATGAGCTACGGAAGGAAACGTGCAATCTGCAGTTTTCCTATGGAGCTTAGAAATCTCCATGCAATCATTTTTCAGGGCGTGGCACCGGATGGTTATTATGTAGTAATACCTTGCTATACCGAGCTACGATTGGTACCTTGAATGCCTTGCTACAAAATTCCCGCATGATTTCTTTCATTGAGCTCCCAGCCATGATGTTGACGTGTCTCAAGGGCACAAGACACAGCTCCCGATGCACTTCCACCACGTTGGGCCAAATGTAGACGGCCCTGTCCTGGGTCGATGAAGCTTGGGACCCCAAGATCAATGGACAACCAGAAAATCTGTTCCTTTTTTGAATGGCACAGCTTTGGGTAATTTAAGGGCAAGTTGATTTGGTTTGATGATGTTTGATGTAAGTTGATGATACTTGATGTAAATTTGGAGTAGCAACTTCTTCCAATGTGCCGAATCCTGGCTATACAACCGTTGCATGCCACGGCACGTAGGTATATCTCATGCCCACCATGTCCATGATGCTTCCATAGGACACCAGGAGGGAGACCGAGAACTCCACATTTCCAGGAACCAGTTCTTGCAGGACCCATTTCTTGGGAGAAAACTCGGGAGCATATTTGTACCTCAGATGACTCAGTACTGGGGGATGATGGGGGATGATGATGGTCGAGTTCAACTCTTCGTTTTTATGATGATCAAATCAAGGATGATCTGGCTATGGATCAATACCTATACATACCATTTTTAGGGGGATGAACATCCATTTACCAGCTATTTTGATGTTCACCAGGGGGATAGGGTTTTGACCCATCCCCATCTGAAAAAGGATGATCTTAAATTCCAGCACTTCAGGTCTGGGATGATTCCCCATTTCAAGTCCCCATGGCATCCCATGAGCTCCCCAAAGGTCTGACCAAGGTGAACAAGGTGCACTTCATCCTTGCTGTTGCAGATGTAGGAGTTCTTCCCGAATTCACCCTGACAAGGCTTCAACACGCAGGGATACACCGCGCTTTCCGGCGCTGCAAAGTGCATGGGAAGAAAGTCCACCTCAATGCAGAGTCCGGTGAGGTTTTTCTCCGGAGAAAAAAAAACATGAAAAAACTATATAATGCCTATCTATATATATTATATATATATATTATATATAATTATACTATATATAATTATATTATATATAATTAATATTGCAACATATTGCAATCCAACTATCCAGCAGATGTTCTAATCATTTTCCTCTGGTTTTCCCCATGGTTTTTTCCCAGATCCGCAGGCTGGTACTGAGGTTCCATCCATGCCGATCCGATCAGCAAAGCCGGGGAGGTTCGCCTGACCATCGAGGAAACCACTGGTCAACTGCTACCCGGCCTGGTAAACATACAAAAAACTATGGAAAGATCCACCATTTTTCATGGGAAAATCCACTATTTCTATGGCCATTTTCAATAGCTATGTTAAATTACCAGAGGCTACAGTTTGCGAACTGGAAAATCACCGATGTTGATCCATTTTGACTAGGTAAATCATCTATAAATCATCTATTTCTATGGTCCAGTTTCCATAGCTATTTTTTAGCTTACTGGAGGCTATTTGCCCATGAAAACCATACAAGAACCCATAACACCATCCATTCATCAGTCCATCAGTTTTCCAGTTCTTTCCTGGCAACATTGTTTCAAAACCGAGCCATGTTTACATCATCACCACAGGGTTTTGAGTTTTGGGTCAGTAAAAAAGTTCAAGTCGCAGCTTCTTTCGCTCAAAGCTGGCCTTGTTCCCCAAGCTTTCAATGATGTGCACAGGGCTGGTGATGATTTTCCAACCGCAGCTCTTCAACTTCTCCTGGAGCTTGGCGATCCTGTGCCGGGAAGAATTCACCAGTTGACCTACTGGGGGTAGCTCCAGTTATCATAGAAATTTAGATGTTGCGGCCAGACCATTTTGCTATTGAAACCATAGTGAAACATATATTTTGAAAAACCCATGGTTTTTTTGGGATGTTTTGGGAATCACCAATTTTTTGTGAAATACCAATTCAATCCAATTCAATCATCAAAACTATGGATTTGGCCATGAAACATGGTGATTGACCATCAACATCCATCAACAATTACGGTGAATGGGGATTGAAGCACGGCTCACTTGAGATCGATTTCTTACCAGTCATACCCTCTGGTAAACTAACATGGCTATGGAAAATCACCATTTTTAATGGGAAAACTCACTATAAATGACCATGTTCAATAGCTTTTTGTATGTTTAGCAAAGGGTAAGTCATAACCCAGTGATCGATTTGGACGAAAGCTGGGATGTTTCACCCCAGCTTTCACACATCGATCGCCTCAAAGACAGCTTGTCACTGCATGGAAGGAGCCAGGACTTGCCACCAATTGGGGCGATGGGTAGAGGAGCTCGTCCGTCCCAGTGCAAAGTGTTACGGGCCTCGGCGCGATCCCATGGGGTGCTCGGATGGACAATCTATGGGAAATCCTATAGGAAAAATCCCTGGAAAATAAGCCATCGAGATCCATGGGAGCTATTCTATAGATTGTTTCAGATGCGACTATCTTCCAGCAAAAAGAACAACTGGGACGTGGCTGAGGCCTTTCTCTCACGAGCAAAAAGCAGCCTACGGAAACTACAACTGCATGTCTAGTATCATCATTCTGGACTGCTTTGGGGCAAGAAGTGACCTGAAAACATAATATGTTGCCGAAAGTCATGTTATTGAGCTATGCGTGCACTACTTTTTGCAAGATGCGAAACTTCAAAAAACCGTGCGCCGTTTTTGTTGCTTGTCAAATCACATCAACTCAAGAGAAACCAGATAAAAAACATATCTGCAACATTTTTTTGGCCATAGCCAATAAAGTTGGAAAAATCAAATTTCAACAACATCAACAACCATACATGACCCCATCTTAATCCATTTGTGATCGACTGTATATGGAGTACCCCAATTTTTTTCATGGGTGTTTTTTCCTGATGATTAATCAACAGGGGGTTGGTCATAGCCGCTGTTGAACAGCGCGATAAACAGCTCTAGTTATAAATTTATCCCATGAAAAATCATGTTTATGTAGCCACTCTTGATTTTTAATAGCTGCATAGTTTTCACAACTATAAAAAAATAACTGTTGATAAAATAGCTGTTGATTGTAGCTGAACTACTAGTTATACCCTCTAGTTATTTAACATAGCCATGGAAAATGGCCCATTTAGAGATGGTTTACCTATTAAAAATGGTGATTTTCCATGGCTATGTTAAATAACCAGATGGTAACATGTTATAGCATGTTATAAATCCCATGAAATCCCATGAAACCATCCCCAATTCTTCCTTGATTATCCCCATGGAAAAGTATCACATTTTTAGGTCCCCGGCAGAGATGCCCAGATTCTGTGCGTGCTCATCCCATCCTGTTGACGAGTTTAACGGGAAACCATGGGCCAGACCATTTTTTAAGCGCAAAAAACAATGCGACCATATAAAACCACATTTTTCCAATATGGAAAATATGGTGTTCCATGAACTTTCGTTCTGTTTTATGGTTGACAATATTTTTCGGATCACGAACTGATCATCCCATGGTGTATCATATTCTGATTTCCTATCAACTTTGCCCAAAAAGGGCTGGTGAAATCCCATTCTTAGAGAAACCAACATGTTTCATCATGGCTGACATTGAAATACCCTCCAGTAAATTAACATAGACCCTGCCAGATAGGGGTTGAAAGACTAGTTTCCACTATAATTTGGTCAGTTTCAGGGTCTATGTTAATTTACCAGAGGGTACCATGTAAAAGGCTACCAGTATTCTTAGACTGGTATTCCACCATGTTTAGAGAAACCATGTAAACATATCATGTAACATCACCATTTTTAGACCATGTAAACATATCATGTAACACAAACGAAACATTCTCATTACCAGAAACACCACAAACGATCGTTGAGTCGGTGACCCCTTCGTTCGTTCCCGGCCTTTGGGCGGAACCCAATGGAATCGCTTCAGCTCCTGCGTCTGCATGGCTTTGTCCCAAAATCTGAGGATGTTAGCACCATCTATAATCTACGGAAAAAAAAAAACATACCACATGATACAACAAATGATACAACCATATAAAAACAAATACCATATCATACAACCTAATATAAATGTCTCATAGTATGGTTTTACCAATTTATGGCTCTAATTCCCTTGCAGCAAATGATGATAAACCATGAGTCCTCACCACCGAAGCCGCACATGACAGGAAGAGCTTGTTCCTGGCACCACTTTTGGATGTCTACATCCAAACCCAACATGTTTTCTGATTAGATCCAACAGGTTTGGATGATTTTAGGATATATGTATTAATACATAATATACCAACACACCATCCAACACCCATTGGATGATTTTATGGCCTCTTCATCACTCCACGTTGAAGTGGATGACCCCGATGTGTCCGATGTCAATGAAGCAACCTTGAACTTTGAACCCTAAAATCGCCACAAATAGACAAAGAAGGATGTATCTACCCTCCAGTAAAATATCATAGACCCTGGCAGATAGGGGTTTTCAGGGTCAGACTGTTCATTTACCAGAGTTTAATACTTATATAACATAATTATCATTATCTAAAATAAACATAGACTTTGATCTATAATACAAATCTTATAAATATATAACCAATATAGGATAATATCATCAAGCAACAAACGAAGCAACGAAGACTTGCTGACCGATGCTGGAACCAAGGCACTGAGACTCGACGAGAAAATTCAATGATAGGGATGTCATGTAGATCGCAATGTTTCATGCCTCAGAAGTGGCAGTTATAATAATATTTATATATATATAATATATGTGATATTATATGATAAATAGAATGATATAATAACCCCTATCATTCACTTGCGATCACCATCTCTTTACACCGAAAAGACGTTGCGATGGCCAAACAACTCACTGGCAAAGCTTCCTGCAAACGAGCTGCATGACACTTGCAGACCCATGATGGGAATCGGAATGATCTGAAATTGGAAAGATTTGAGCTTGAACCACAAGGTGTGGCAACATGTGCCACCATGTTGCACCTTTTCTCTGCCCATTTGGGTTGGGTTTGAACACATATGGGGATGGGTCAAAACCCTGGTACCTAGTGAACCCCAAAATAGCTGGGATTTATGGATGTTCATCCACTAAAAATGGTATGTATAGGTATTGATCCATAGCCATATCCCACAAAACATGATGGCTATTTCCCCCCAAAAAAGTGTATCTGTTTACAGCGTTCTCCTCGACACCAACACGTGTTTTCCTGCTAAACAAGCACAATGCTGTCCCACTCGCAAAAGAAAGTCAAACACATATTCTCCTGAACACTGAAGGACCTGTGAACGCACTTTATCATAACATGCCGTATATAATATAACATAACATGCTATAATAAAATAAAAATAAAATAATATATATATAATATAATATATTATATAATGTATTATCATATTATACAAAATCACTATAATAATAAAATATAATATAGTAATACTATATTATATAGTATTATGCTATATATCATATGCTATCATACAATATAATCTATGCATAATGATGCATCAATACGATTCTTTGGAATCTGTGGCCAAGATATGGGCCCAGACAGATGTCTGGCTCTCGTCATCATTTTGGACCAAATCAGCCGTCGTTCGGTGCTTCGGCCCTCAACAGAAGCCGTTCGGTGGACGTTCCTTTGCCCACGCATTCCACGGAGATGTTGTGAAATCCGGCCGCATTGGACATCATTCCTGGCTGCACATCAACATGAACCACACAGATATTAGTGCACTAATGATAATGAATAAGCATCTTGATAGTCTATAGTAATAATTATCTATGAACTATTGATGTTGCTTATTCATGTGACACTACTTGTATTCATGTGCCTTGTTAACATGCATGTGCTTTGTTCATTTACCAATATTCCCACCTACGTGGTGTGCAGTATGTGCTTCTTAAAGTCATTTGGAAACCAATCCTGGAAGTTCTTAACTAAACTATCACGACAATATCTAGATTGCTATACATATGATGATGTTTCAATTGTATATTGTATATAATATGATTATGATTATTATTACTATTATCTATTACTACTATTACTATTACTATTCCTATTATTATTACTATTACTATTCCTATTACTATTACTATTACTATTACTACTATTATATGTACGTATATATAATATATATATATATATTTTTTCTGAGCAAGTGTGTGCCATGGTCAAAAGTGGTGAGTATTTACTCAGCATGTTTCGCATTTGCTGCTGCGCCACGAAGTTCGAAAGGCGGATAAAGAAAGGTCCGTGTGGTGGCCATCAAACGTCCACCAGGCCTGGTTTCCGTGGCCATGAAAACATGGGGAACAGGGGGTGAAAATATGGAGGAACCACGGGGAAAGCATGGATTTTTTTTGGGGGTCAACCCTGGATTGTCACGGATCTTCCCACTCAAAGTGGCCATGAAGCTGTGATTGGGCTCGAAATCCCAACGTCAGATTTGATTCAAGTCACATGGAGTGGAAATATGCGGAATCCCACGTTTTGAAACCAGCAAATTCCACCTGTCTGGTGAGAATATGCAGAACATCACTGACGATCTAGAATTCTCCAAACATCTATGACAAGGTATCAAACATGATGTTGTATGGTACTATTGTCAATGATTGTCAACATACAAAACGATATATGTATGGCATTATGGAACAGCGTCCATAAAACTTCTATGTCAGCTTGGCTTTGTAGGGCAGCCCCCAATGGTGACATCACATCGCCATCCCTATTGAAATGGCCGGCCATGAACGGTTGCTGAATTCCCATCGGTACCGAACCTATCAATCACATTAAGACAGTGTTCTATATCCCATTCTGTATAATCTGTATAGAGAATGGGATTTATATAACTATGACTTATATATGATCAATATACATATACATACATACAATGACATGACATAACATAACATCACAAAACATGACATAACTTAAATAACATAACATGACATGACATTACATGACATAACACAGCATACCATACCATGCCACAACATAACAGTATAACATAACATGACATTACATGAAATAATACAGCATACCACACAATACCATAACATAACATGACATAACATAGCATACCATACCATACATAAATTACATACATATAAGTGTATATACATATAAGTGTATATACATATATATATATATCATAATAGATTCCGATTCCATGTTCATAGTTTAATCAAATCCACCTAACTTAAGCATGGCACATGACTCGACCGCCATGGCATGGCCCAACCCAGCGGTTCCGGCCTCAACGCCTTCCTGACGTTGCGCAAGGCTTCTTCAGCGTCCTGGACCTGTCGAGTGGAACGAGGAACGCACCCTTTTTGGCTCGTTGAAACCATGTTTTAAGTCTTGAAGTAACTGAAAGTATGTACTATAACGATCTATAACTAAACGATCTATGTTAAGCCATGTTTTGTTAAGTGTTGGTACTATAACGATCTATAACTAAACTTCATTTTTTCATAGGCCGTCTTTTTTCATTCTTTTCCATGGGATTTGCTCGGCAAAGGTTGGACAAGCTCCACCCTTGGCGTGTTTTCAGCATCTGCGCCTTGTGAATGCCCAATCCCCACCAAACAAAATCCTGGGCGGCACAGGTGATGCCGATGTGACCCAGTGGGTACAAGGGGCCCTTAAATAGTGGATGGTTCCAATGGGAGAAAAAAACACCTCATCTTCAGCAGGAAATTCATCCATGATCGATGATACGCAAAATATCCTCAGTTGAATGTTAGTTAAACGTCCTCCCATTTTAATCCATTGCCAGGCTCTCAGAAAACAAACAACCATGGCTCTTTTCATACAACAACCAGGGCCTTTTCTCAGAAAACGATGCAGCCAAGTCTCCAGCTGCTTCTCCCTGAAGGGCAAACTTTGTGCATCTCCTCGTAGCAGAAACAGCCCATCCAGCGGCCCCGTTCTCTCCGCTTCCGCTTCGCCCCGCGCCGCCGCCAGCGGCGCCCACAGGATGTCCAAGGCGTACCTTGGAGGAACCAACGGTGGGACAAAACGAAGGACCAGTGGAGAGAGACTTGGAGCTGGCGATGTTTGATAGATGCATGGCATATGGATGTATCTGGTATATGGATGTATATGGTAGATGAATATAGATGATAGATATTAGTGGTTGATGATATACTTGTAAATTATTTACACACGGATCCAATTTTTGATTTACAGGGTTGGTTAAGAGTGCAAATGACAAACCATGTTGTGGGAAAATAATCTACAAGGGCCACTGACACGTTGATTATACTTCATTTCCCTGCATATAGTTTGAACATGTTTGAACTGTCCCATTGCCAGTTTCAGCCACCACTCGTTGGATTATTGTCTTTGCTTTTCTCGGATAAACTTCCAGGTTGCTCCCAGCCAGCTATGTAATAATTACAAACTTATTTTCTCAAACATGTCCATACATCCAAGTCTACCCACATGTAACCACCAAATATGCAACACATCACATTTTGATCTTCTGCATTTCTTGGCATTTCTAATGTGGTTTGATGAACATCTTGGCTTTGAACATCAATCATCCACCCAATGGGATGGTTTCCCTGTCGCGCCCGAGGCACACCGTCGCAAAGTGCTTGCTCTGGGCAAATCTTCGGGCCTCTCAGTGGAGTTTTTATGGTGAAAACCATGGTCTACATGATATTTATACATAATTACCAGATGGTTGATCATCATCATCATCATAATCATCATCATCATAATAATATATATATATATATACCCTGTGGTTATTTAACATAGCCATGGAAAATTCCCATTTATAGATGGTTTACCTATTAAACATGGTGATTTTCCATGGCTATGTTAAACAACCAGAGGGTATATGTATATATATATATCATACATATATATATATATATATATCATACATATATATATATCATACATATATATATATATTCCATTAAGAGCTCCTGAAAAATACATTAAAAAATACCATATGTCATCATCCTTCGATATTTCGCGATGGTTGTGACCTTTTTCGCCCACCGGTCGCTGAGAGCCCAACCATCAGAGCATTGCCACAACCCAAGTCCAGCACCACGCCAGTTGACTGAGTCAGCGGCCGAAGCGGTGAGTTGGCTGGTGAGGATCATAGAAATGTAGCAAAATGGGATCTTAATGGGATCTTAATGGGATCTTAATGGGATCTTAATGGGATCTTAATGGGATCTTAATGGGATCTTAATGGGATCTTAATGGGATCTTAATGGGATCTTCATGGGATCTTCATGGGATCTTAATGGGATCTTAATGGGATCTTAATGGGATCTTAATGGGGGATCTTAATGGGATCTTAATGGGATCTTAATGGGATCTTAATGGGATCTTAATGGGATCATTAATCTTAATGGGATCTTAATGGGATCTTAATGGGATCTTAATGGGATCTTAATGGAATCTTAATGGGGATCTTAATGGGGGATCTTAATGGGATCTTCGTGGGGATCTTCATGGGATCTTCTGGGATCTTAATGGGATCTTAATGGGATCAATGGATAATGGGATCTTAATGGGATCTTAATGGGATCTTAATGGGATCTTAATGGGATCTTAATGGGATCTTAATGGGATCTTAATGGGATCTTAATGGGATCTTAATGGGATCTTAATGGGATCTTCAATGGGATCTTCATGGGATCTTAATGGGATCTTCATGGGATCTTCATGGGATCTT